TTATTATACAATAATAGTTTTATATAATATTTATCCTTACAAGACTGAGTTAGTTCACTCAGCGTAATGCTCTCCAGTCCCAGTCAAGTTAGGAAATAGTTACAAAATCACTGTTCCGTCAACAATTCTACTAGGAATAATTCCACAAATATTCCCAACAGGTATAGAAAGAAATCAATACATAGTCATTTTATGTTAGCACTGGTTTACATAATGGCAAAACAAAAAAGCTAGAATACCAGCCTAATTTATTGTTACAACCATAAAATATTACGTAGTCTTATAGACTTTTGGGGGTTGGTGTGTCGTAATTAGTGAGACTGGCCCAGGACAGGGAAGAGTTCAGAGCAGCTGTACATAGGGCTGCTGTACATCACAGGTGACTAAATGGCACATAACATACTATGACAGGTTTGGAAGCAGGAGTGGCATCCACTTTCTAAATAACATAACCCTGGAAACTCTATAAACTTTGATAAATGTCTATAGTTGTAGAGGGCTTGCTAAAGGCCTTTTGTTCCTAGGGTCGCTGTGAGTCATGCTCGACTCGAAGGTAACCAACAACATATACTTTAGCTATATAATGACTAGAAAGATGTTTACATGTACTTAGGAAGCTCTGGAGGCCTGGTGAGTAAAAAGTTACACAATGTAAAGGCAGGCAGTTTGAATTCATGCTGCTCCACAGGAGAAAGATGGGCAATCTTCTCCTATGCAATTTACAGCCTCTGAAAAATCTGCTGGATGGTCAGCTATGAGTCAGTTCTGACTCAAGGGCAATGAGTGAGTGAGTGCAAATGTACTCAGTACATGATACTATTTGTATAATTTTAAACAGTACAAAGGAATTAAATTTCACATGCAAGCAAAACTCTACTGAAGATTATGCAAAAATGACTGGAACAGCACATCGGCAGAGAACCGCTGGAAGTCCAGGTTGGGTTTAGAAGGGGTCATGGTACTAGGGACACTGTAGCTAATGTTAGATGGATCTTAGCTAAAAGCACGGAATACCAGAAGAATGTCTATCTGTGTTTCATTGACAATCCAAAGGCGTTTGACTGTGTGGATCATAACAAACTGTGGCTGACTCTGAGAAGA